CTAACTTATATTAACATAAAATGAAAAAATTTTTAAGTTTCCATCATTATTTTTGGAGTTATGATGTGGATTCTCAGTTTAGTCAATTTTTTAATTTTTTTTTAGATTTTTGGGATTTTAAAAATATTTTATTTTTTTTGACTCATTTGGTGTAAACTAACTTATATTAACATAAAATGAAAAAATTTTTAAGTTTCCATCATTATATTTGGAATTATGATGTGGATTCTCAGTTTAGTCAATTTTTTAATTTTTTTTTAGATTTTTGGGATTTTAAAAATAGGCTGCTAAATTCTTAGGGTATGTCATGCATGTCCACATGATATTAATATCAGTCTTCGAAGATGGTTTAACATCATGTCCTTTTATAAATTTGGTGTATGGACTATATCCTATCCCAACACCTGGGGGGCAATAAGACATGAAAGGTAGTTTTAAAGCTGCACTCGTTGCATAAAGATGCAAGAGCTGGGAAAATCCATTTATATTTAGAACATCACGCAAAATTTTTGCATAATTGCCAGATATAATTGCCAGATATAATTTGCTCTTCAATAATAGTCTTATTATTATTATAAAATTTTGAATTTATATCATAAAATTTTTTATTTATTATGATTTCAATGGCTGTTAGAAGACGAATATATAATTGTTCATCTTCGTGTCCATAAAGAGCTAAAGACATTGAGCGATAGAAACAGTTACCATCGCCAATGGCTAATCTCGGGGAGTAATTATTTAAAATTTGGGGTTGAAAATTTTTTATTATTTTAGATGAAATAATGTCTTCCTTACCTATTAAATTGTTTTTTAAATATTTATCAGAAACTTTATAATGAATTTCTAAAAATCTAAGCTCATTTAATGCGTTTTTGATATTGCTATTCTTAATTAGCCTAGGTAAAGCATCATCAATTAAATAACACAATGAACATATATAATTATCATTAGAATCTGACCAATCTTTCATCATCTTTGAAGTTAATTTCGGGATGCATTTAGCATGAATCCATCTCCGACAAAAATCGCAAAAAATCCCAGATTGGTCCATTCCTACAATCACATTGCAATCACATTGCAAATATTACACATATCTGACATGGATAATAACTAATATAAATTGTGCAGAATTATAAATATAAATATATATTAAATTTAATTGTATAATTTTATTTTTTTAAGGCGACAAAGATTTTAGCTTGATATTTATAGTAGTGATCTGCAACTGGCCTAATTTTTCAAGCTAGGCACGGCCCGAAATTTTTTTAAAAAGAGTTTTGCCAGCCCTACCCGAATTTATTTAAATATAGAAATTAAATTTTATAATTATACTCAAAATAATATATATTATCTTATATGTCGTCTATTTCTACAAATAAAATATTTTTATTTTACATAAATAATTCAGCATAAAATTAATAAATTTAAATATATTTTAACCGGTCTCAAATCTTTCTATAAAGAAATTAATAAATAATTCAAAATAAAAAATAGATCTATAAGCTATGAATAATATTTTACAAAATTTAATATAAATTAAAAATATTCCCTAATTTTTTTAAAATTCTGGTTGGTCTCAAATCTTTCTATAAAGAAATTAATAAAGAAATTAATAAATAATTCAAAATAAAAAATAGATCTATAAGCTATGAATAATATTTTACAAAATTTAATATAAATTAAAAATATTCCCTAATTTTTTTAAAATTCTGGTTGGTCTCAAATCTTTCTATAAAGAAATTAATAAATAATTCAAAATAAAAAATAGATCTATAAGCTATGAATAATATTTTACAAAATTTAATATAAATTAAAAATATTCCCTAATTTTTTTAAAATTCTGGTTGGTCTCAAATCTTTCTATAAAGAAATTAATAAATAATTCAAAATAAAAAATAGATCTATAAGCTATGAATAATATTTTACAAAATTTAATATAAATCAGAGACCTGCAGAGGGACGATTTGTACGGCCAACACAACCCAGATTAAAAAATTTTAGCGGCCCGGTTAGAATTTTTTTTCCAAAAATTTTTACTGCCCGGCCTGGGTTTAAGAATATAAGGCCCTGCTCAGCCCAGCTCGTCCATGGTATATTTAGAAATTTAAAATACTGTCCGGCCCTGGTATTTGGGCCGGGCTGCCGGCTTAGGGCCTGGCCTGCAGGTCTCTTATATAAATTGTAATGTTAAAAAAAATTTTTACTTTGTATTTGAGAATTTATATATGAATAAATAATAGTTTTTTTACCTTTATATATATTCTATTGAGATAAATAATTATAATAATATATTAACCTTTCCATAACTGTAAACAACATTTTACAATGGTGAATAAAATATTATGTAAGATATTTCGAGTACCGTGTTATGTAATATACATTACATATTTACTAATTTTATAAAAATAATTTTCTTTTTAAAACTTTGAAATTTGAACTTGAAGTCCTACTTACGTTTAATTTATCAACTAAATTTATTTAATAACCACAGGTGTGCAACATAATTATGTAAGTCGTTTAATCTAAACTAAATTAATAATTAAATTTGACCGGAAGATTCATACAAAAACATTTGAAGGTATGAAGAAAAAATGAATTGTTCGACACTTTGTATATAAATTTATAGAGATACAAAATAATAAAAAAATGAATAAATAAGAAAAAAATGAGTGAATAAAGTGAATAAGAAAAAAATTCGTTAGCCTTAATCTTTTATTAAAACGATTGTTAGATTATTTATGACATAAATACCCAACGGTCTTTTTTAAGACCAATACCCAGCTATCTTTTTTAAGACCAATGCCCAACAGTCTTTTTTAAGACCAACACCCAAAAGTTTTTTTAAGACCAATACCCAACAGTCTTTTTTAAGACCAACACCCAACAGTTTTTTTAAGACCAATGCCCAACAGTCTTTTTTAAGACCAACACCCAACAGTTTTTTTTAAGACCAATACCCAACAGTCTTTTTTAAGACCAACACCCAACAGTCTTTTTTAAGACCAATACCCAACAGTCTTTTTTAAGACCAACACCCAACAGTCTTTTTTAAGACCAATACCCAACGGCCCTTTTAAGGGCCTATAAATTTTAATTGAAGTAAACTAGTTTTACAATATATGTCATAACTCCAAAAATAATGATGGAAACTTAAAATTTTTTTCATTTTATGTTAATATAAGTGAGTTTACATCAAATGAGTCAAAATAAAATATAAATAAATTTTAAAATCCCAAAAATCTAAAAAAAAATTAAAAAATTGACTAAACTGAGAATCCACATCATAACTCCAAAAATAATGATGGAAACTTAAAATTTTTTTCATTTTATGTTAATATAAGTTAGTTTACATCAAATGAGTCAAAAAAATAAAATATTTTTAAAATCCCAAAAATCTAAAAAAAAATTAAAAAATTGACTAAACTGAGAATCCACATCATAACTCCAAAAATAATGATGGAAACTTAAAATTTTTTCCATTTTATGTTAATATAAGTTAGTTTACATCAAATGAGTCAAAAAAAATAAAATATTTTTAAAATCCCAAAAATCTAAAAAAAAATTAAAAAATTGACTAAACTGAGAATCCACATCATAACTCCAAAAATAATGATGGAAACTTAAAAATTTTTTCATTTTATGTTAATATAAGTTAGTTTACACCAAATGAGTCAAAAAAATAAAATATTTTTAAAATCCCAAAAATCTAAAAAAAAATTAAAAAATTGACTAAACTGAGAATCCACATCATAACTCCATCATAACTCCAAAAATAATGATGGAAACTTAAAAATTTTTTCATTTTATGTTAATATAAGTTAGTTTACACCAAATGAGTCAAAAAAAATAAAATATTTTTAAAATCCCAAAAATCTAAAAAAAAAATTAAAAAATTGACTAAACTGAGAATCCACATCATAACTCCAAAAATAATGATGGAAACTTAAAATTTTTTTCATTTTATGTTAATATAAGTTAGTTTACATCAAATGAGTCAAAAAAATAAAATATTTTTAAAATCCCAAAAATCTAAAAAAAAATTAAAAAATTGACTAAACTGAGAATCCACATCATAACTCCAAAAATAATGATGGAAACTTAAAATTTTTTCCATTTTATGTTAATATAAGTTAGTTTACATCAAATGAGTCAAAAAAAATAAAATATTTTTAAAATCCCAAAAATCTAAAAAAAAATTAAAAAATTGACTAAACTGAGAATCCACATCATAACTCCAAAAATAATGATGGAAACTTAAAAATTTTTTCATTTTATGTTAATATAAGTTAGTTAGTTTACACCAAATGAGTCAAAAAAATAAAATATTTTTAAAATCCCAAAAATCTAAAAAAAAATTAAAAAATTGACTAAACTGAGAATCCACATCATAACTCCAAAAATAATGATGGAAACTTAAAAATTTTTTCATTTTATGTTAATATAAGTTAGTTTACATCAAATGAGTCAAAAAAATAAAATATTTTTAAAATCCCAAAAATCTAAAAATAAATTAAAAAATTGACTAAACTGAGAATCCACATCATAACTCCAAAAATAATGATGGGATCTTAAAAATTTTTTCATTTTATGTTTATATAAGTCGGTACCAAATCAATTAATCCAGAGCGAAGAATTATGCTCCTATAATTCATATTATTTTTAATTAAAAACTAAAATTTTAATAAATAACGCCATCTAGCGGAATATTTATTATGATATAAAAAATATATTATTGGTGTTATATTTTCTATATAATAGATCTGTTCTATACAAATTATAAATTTATGGACTACAATATCTTCTATATTCTAATTTATATATTTAAAATAATTTTAATTTTGGATAGATTTGATTTTTACTTTAAAAACATTTTATTTATATATTTAAAAATAATTGATAGGCAATAAAACAAAAATAAATTTTACCTGTCAATTCTCAGTTTACCTGTCAATTCTCAGTTTACCTGTTAATTCTCAGTTTAGTTACACCGATTTCTCGAAAAATGTTGAAAACTTTAAATATAGGACGTAATATGAAGAAGTGGGTGGTTAAACAAGTTATATATTTTTTATTAAAAACAATAAGTATATTTATAACCAGAATCAATGTTTTGCTAAATCCGCATCAACTAAGCCAATTACCTATGAGCAAACTATTTATAATATGCCTGAAACAAAGATATCTACTTTAAAAAATGGTATGAAAATTGCTTCCGAAGATTCTGGTCTACAAACGTGCACAGTAAGTTAAAGAAGTAAATTTTTATATATATTTATTTTAGGTTGGTGTTTGGATTGATGCTGGTAGCAGATATGAAAGTGAAGAAAATAATGGTACAGCACATTTTTTAGAACACATGGCATTTAAAGTACAAATATCCTAATATTGATGATTATTACATTAATATAGGGGACTAGTAAGAGATCTCAGGTTGATTTAGAATTAGAAGTTGAAAATATGGGTGCTCATTTAAATGCTTACACATCTCGAGAACAAACTGTATACTATGCAAAATGTCTCTCAAAGGACATAAACAAAGGTTTATTTTTTTATATATATAAAGTTTATAATTTTGATTACATTGCTAGCAATGGATATATTATCGGACATTTTATTGAACAGCAAGTTTGGTGAAGCTGAAATTGAAAGAGAAAGAGGTGTCATACTTAGAGAAATGCAGGTTTCAGATCAATATATGTTATAAATGATATTTAGGGCTGTGCTGGGTGCTGATACACAAAATAATAAATTTCACTTATCCAATATTCACTCCCATGCAAAAACTAATCAACAGTTTTGAGTGAATATTGGATAAGATATAATGTATTGACACAGCCATTGTTTAAGGTCAAATAGTATTTTATATATATATATATTAAATTATTTTGTTATTTTCTCATTATATCCTTAGATTTTTAACACCATAGTTTGAATTCTATTTTAATTATTTTATATTAAGTAGTAGCTTACTTTCTTTTCAAAAAAAAAATCAGGAAGTCGAAACAAATTTACAAGAGGTTATATTTGACCATCTACATTCTTGTGCCTATCAAGGAACTCCTTTAGGGAGAACAATTTTAGGACCAACTGAAAATATAAGGTTATCACCTATAAATAAGTATGTTATAAACTTAAAAAAACATCTTAAATCCCTAGAAGTTTATATTTCTTAAAGATTTATTATATTTATAAAAAAAATATAATGTATACAGAACAATAAACAGAAACCATTTGGTCAATTACATTAAGGATCATTACAAATCCACTAGAATGGTAATCGCTGCAGCTGGAGGTTGATTATCTATACATTTTATTCATTAGTAATAGGTTGCATGGGAGATTATTTTTTTATCATAGTGAATGTGTTAAAATTACGAGAAAAAAAATTAGTTTATTTTAATTAGTGAGTATACAAAATATGCATATTTAGCGCCAAAAAGGATAACTATGATAACTTATTTTAAAAATTTTTAATGTAAATTCACTAGGTATCAATCATGATCAACTAGTGGAGATTTCGGACAAATATTTTGGCCAAGTCACTAACAAATATATTGATTCTGAAATTCCATTGATAAAACCTTGCAGATACACTGGTAGTGAAGTAATATTGATTACCTTTAACATACAGATTTATTTGTATTAGTTAGATTTTTTTTTTGATTTGATTATGCCCTTTCTTAAATTTTAATTTATAAATAATCTTTGTATTTTGTATAAGATCATTCATAATTTTAAGAATTAGATTTTTGCCTTATCGAATTTTTGAAATTTCAGTTTTTTTCTTGCTTATTTTATGAAATCATGCTCTTAAAGGATGCTGATGCTATATTCTAATTGAACTAGTTTAGCATAGTAATTAGGGCTCTGCTAATTCACATATGTTTCACTGATCCAAATTAATATTGGTTCAAAACTAATACAAAATTTTTATCACCCCCCTCCCACACACACTCTTTGTACCAAATGCAATAAAAATTCCATATTTTCTTTGTAAAAAATCGAATTCATTTAATTTTATTTTTATATCCACATTTAAAACTTGAATTTAAAAAAATATATATTTAATAATTGTATGCATTTAATTTTGAATAAAATATATGTGTTGGTTGTTCAAATAATAATATTTAATTTCTAATATATTAGATTTTTTTTTAAAATAAATATGAGAGCCTCTAGATTTTTTGGCAATAAGCTTCTACTATGTGAACTATCTATATCCCCTGCTATTCTGAAAACAGACTCAGGTGGGACACTTGTTGCTGGAAGTGCCAATAATTTAAAAGCGATGTTTGATTAAGTTGCATATTTTTCAAGCATTAATTTACCAATATTCAAGTGGATATAATATCAAATATCATTGTTTCTAAAGTTATCTAATTGAACATAGATATAAAATTAGCATTGTTAAAATATTGGGTTAAACAGATACCAGCCAAATAAATAAGTCAGTTATAACCCAACCAAACAACACTAGATAAAATATGAAAAAAATAGTTATTACCATCTAGATAAAAAGTTTCTTTTAAATATCGATGATTTCTTTTAAAGTATGACAGGTGTCATCTACTTTACTATCAATTTCAATTATTTTATATCTGTCTTGTTTTTCTCCTCGACTATTGAATTTATCATTACCTAAATTATCAATAAAATCTAAACTCCTTTAATCGTTAATTCACCTTTCACAATTTCAACAATGGATATATATAACAACATTGCCAAATTGAACATAATTTTCACCCTTATTTATTTTTTGTTACCCTCTTAATTGGTTCGGTTCGATAACACCAGTCACCTTTGCTGCTAATTCCCACTCATATAATTGAGGGATTTCCCAAATCAGCATTATCGATAATGAACAGCTGTTCCGCCCTTTATTCGTTCTCGCAATCGTTAAGCACGTAAATAGGTAGAATCGACCGAATCTCTTTTTTTAGGAAACTATTTTTGTGGGAATGGAAGAATATTTAAAACGTTACAGATTTCTGTTAGGAACCATTTTGTGAAATACGATGCAAAATCTTGAAATGGGATTTTAAAAATTGTGAACGCCGAAAACATTTTTTTCTGGAGAAAGTAAGTTCCTGGGATTGACTAATTGTCCTGATCTTTGATGTTCAAGATTCTGTTCTTGAGCCTTTACGAAAAAAAAAATAGCGACAAAAGACAATCGAGTTTGAATTATTATTTTTATTGATATATTTAATTATTCAACTTTCCAATTTTTAACATGAAGCCTGAATATTTTTTTAACTCTCAAAATTTCCCATATTTATATAATCCTGGGAATTTTTTTTTAATTTCACGATATTCTGATCTCATTTCTGATTCTATTTTGCCAAAGGCGCAGATAGAACAAAAGCCACCTAAATTTATTTTTATTTTTCATTTATACTCTTTCCTCGAACATTTTTTTTATAGATTGATATTTTATAAAAATTTAGATAAATACATTCACATTCACGAATTATTAGGTTAGGGTAAGAGACGATGACATGCCTTTGGCTCACGTGGCTTTAGCTGTGGAAGGAGTTGGGTGGGAGGATGCCGACAATATTCCGCTAATGGTGGCCAACACTGTAAGTTACGACTATCCAAGATAAATGAATTAAGAAATGAAATAAAAATTTTGAATTTTCCAAATCAGGATTTTTATAGCAACATTTTGTAAAAAAAACTTATAACACGCGTTTTTCGTATTTTTGAAAAAATCTCTGGAATCATATTTCAGCGTTCCCTATTAATTTCTGGCAATTTTTCTCGAATCCCATTTCCGGAAAAATAAATAAATTGCCCTAAACTCCGGATCGATGAAGTATAGGCCCTCCTCGAATTTGTTATTAGACCCTCACGGGACATTTACTATATATACGTATATATCAGATGGTTGGCATGTGGGACAGATCCTTCGGGGCCGGCCCCAACACCGGAAGCAAGCTCGCCTCCATCGCGGCTCAAAGCGATAAGGTGGTTCACTCCTTCCAATCCTTCAACACCTGCTACAAAGACACGGGATTGTGGGGCATATACTTTATCTGCGACAAGCACGCCATAGATGACATGGTGTTCAATGTGCAGAACGAATGGTGAACTCTTTTTAAATAAAAAAATAATAATAATAAGAAACCTATAACTAGTGGGACAAGTATAGGAACCGTACTACAATGCCATTGGCTGTAGACGCCATAAAAAGGCATCGGATATTTAATAACCGGTACAGCCCTAAAAATTAAAATCGATGATGTATTTAAGATACGACCGAGCAACAACGAACTATAATTTAGGACATTTTGTATTCTTAATTACATTATAGCTTTCGAAAAAAACGAAAAATAAAATAATATTTATTTTTTTTTCTCCACATTTTTTCCCCCTCTTTCCGCGTGCGTGAAAAATAAATATATAGGATGAGGCTATGTACGAGCGTTACCGATTTCGAGGTTGAAAGAGCGAAGAATTTATTGAAAACTAACATGCTACTCCAGCTAGATGGATCCACTCCCATTTGCGAAGATGTCGGAAGGTTTTTTTTTTATTCTTGACTTTTATTTACTTCTTTTTATTTGTTCTTTATAAATACGATTTGTAATATACATTTCAATCAAACCTTGCGAGTTATCAATTTAAATAGTGAATATACCGGGTCGAACCCGGATATTCGCTATTCGAATCCGGGCGAATTTATAAAAACTTAACTAGAGGTCAGCGCTGCCCAGTCCGAAAGCCTCGTGTGTCAGGAAAATTTTTCGGGTCTGGCTGGACAAATTTCTCGAAATATTTGTAAAGGCAATTTTAACGTTGACATTTGGGCTAATTCGTGTCGCTTACTTTTTTTAATATCACCAACTGTCCGAACCCAAAGACCCGATAGATTTTCAGGGGTCGAGCGCTGGCCTCTAAGAGTTACTTAACAACACAGAATAAAAAGTCGGAGAGATACAATTCTTGTATTTTGTTGATGGATATTTTTATCTTTATTTATATATAAATCAAATTAGATTTAATACCTCTAACTTGATAATATGATTTTATTAGATAATATTATTTTATTACATATATAATATCCGAAAAATTTAGTTTATTTAAATTTCGATAAGTATAAATGCTATAATAATAATCATAAATGATAAATATTTAATTAGGCACATGTTGTGTTACGGACGTCGAATACCTTTCCACGAGCTGGAAGCCAGAATTAATGTTTGCACGTTGATTTTAATATAAATTATTTTTTTATTATTATTACATTAGTGCTGTAAAGTCTGTAAAGTAACTATCGTTACTAAAGGCGTTAAATTTTGGTGGGAAAAGTAACGCCATGCCTTACTTGCTTCGAAAAGTATCGAGAAACGCGTTTTCCCTTTTTTTTTGTGGAGTAATTGTAACGCAACACGTTACTCGATACTTTAAAAATGGTATATTTTATATTATATTCTTTTTTTTAAAACTTTGTAAATAATTTAAACCCGAGTTTCTTAATTCAGAATCAACCACTAAAGTTCTTGATTTTTTATTATATTTTATTACATTTATTTTTGTTGTACAATTTTTTTTTCTTCTTCTGTATTGTTATTTTTAATAATCAATCTTTTATTTATATAAACCTATTTTAAAAAAAATATATATTATAATATTAATTAATTTTAAAAATAATCCGCCATTTGCTTTGTCGGAATATTTCGGGTTTAATTTTTTTTTGTGGAGTGAAAAGAGAACATTCTTAGCCTCATAGGTGAAATGCAAGATTCTAGGGCCTAGAGTTTTTTTTAAATTTAAAGTTTTAGGTGAAAAATGGCCGTTATGTGTCTTTCGAATCTACTGGAGTATTATATTTGTCACCAGGATCTGGCAAGGACAATTTTTTTTGTGGAGTGAAAAGAGAATTCTTAGCCTCGTAGGTGAAATGCCAGATTCTAGGGCCTAGAGTTTTTTTAAAAAAATTTAAAGTTTTAGGTGAAAAATTGCCGTTATGTGTCTTTCGAATCTACTTGAGTATTATATTTGTCACCGGTATCAGGCAAGGACGCTAAGTCACCCTTGGCATGACCCGATGACCACTCAATTGTTCATTTGATAAGAGATTACCGAGGTTACGGCTAGGGAGTGCTCCTAACCATTCATGATCGTCAAATTTTCATTGGATAGTTGAATATTAAGGGCGAAAAGTTTTTGTGGGTGATTGATGGGAATGATTATTTGGGGTTTAGTCGAGATCATAGATTTGTTTATTAATCCCGGATGATAAGAATGATTAGTATAGCTAGAAATTTAAGGAACAAAGTCTGAACCACCCTATTTAGCAACTAATTGGGTGAGTGAACAGTTTAATGGTGATAATTTAATTGAATTTACCCTGAATTTCAGTCATGAAATACGGAATATATGTAAATATATTGGAATCTAAAGACATCTGTCAATTAAGAATAGACCACTCAATTAAAATTTAATACTTATTAAATATAATACCCTCCCATCCTCTACGACGCCCATTGAGTGCTTACCAGGGCGAAAACTGTTTTTGAACACCTTAAGCGCTCTCTGATCAAAATTTTGAAAATCGATTGGTTTTTAAAAAATAAATAAAAAGCATATTATTTTTAGTATTTTTTCTTAAAGTAACGAGTAACGCGTTACTTTTTTGAATATCGAATGGAACGTTCCTCTTTTTTCCACAATATGACGAGTTTCTTATGAGGCAATGTTTACAGCATTATATTTTATTAATATAAAATTATCTACAAAGCATTTCCTAAATTTATATATATATACAACTATTTTCATATTATTAACCTCGATGTAGGAAGTAGACGCGGACACGCTTAGACAGACCTGCATGGATTATATATACGACAAGTGCCCAGTTGTCGCCGCCATCGGTATAAATTATATATTTAACTTAAAAACGTTTTAATAAGTTTTATCGTATTAAGGGTTATTTTCTCCGTTATTTTTTGTTTTTTGGCTGATTACAAAATGGGGGATGAAAATCCTTTTTTTTTAGCCTGAAACACTATTAAATTACCCCCGTGTTTTTTTTTATGGAAAACTTAGTTCCTGCTTCAAATGCTTAGATTTTTTTTTATATGCCACTCGTGAGATTTACGCAGGAATGCGGACCCGGCAAAATTTTAGCCTCGGGTTCGGTTCGGGTTCGGTTTAAGTAAAAAAAATAAAAGGTGGGTTCGGTTCGGGTTCGGTTCGGGTTCGGTTTATGGAAATATTTTTGAACCCAGGTTCGGTTACGGGTTCAGCTCGGGTTTACGAATTTTTGAATTGATATTAAAAAACTAGACATAAATTTGGTATAAAAATAAAATTTTTTATTTTATTTATAGGCGCAAAAATACATTTAAAAATACGAAAACAGTCATTATATCAATTTTCAAAAATTTTATTTAGACGGATTAGCATAATATCTTCCAGGAGTTGTTCACTCATCCTCGATCTATGTGGTTGAGAGAATGAATTTCAAATGCGAAAATGATCTTTCAACGCTGACTTATATTAAATATACTTAGGTGAAAATATGATAAATTAACTTGTGGTTGTGCAGGAACGGCAAATAAGATTCGAGATAAAATATATAAATCAGGGTGCTCCAGCTTAGCAGATTCCCAGAAATGCAAAATATTTTCCCTCTTATCTAATCTTTTAAAATCGCTAAATCCAGTAATTATCGTTTCAGTACTTTTCTCTGTAATCGTTGGCCCTCTTTTATGTATTTTCTCCTGTCTTCCTTCCTTAAAAGAGAAGAGATTTCTTTCTTTCTAGTTCATCTTGTTCAATAATTTCATCGGAACTATTATAATCAGATAAAATTGGGGTTATGCTTTTAATCCGACTCCCTTTATTGTGATTTCTTTCCAGAGGTCTTTCTAAATTAGACAAATGATTACCAGACATTTTTAATTTGCAATATGAGCATACTTATTTATTTTCTATTGTATCAAGAGTAAAATGCTTCTCAAATATGACCTTATCTTTTATCTTAAATCTATACAATAATGAAGAACTTTTATTAAACCTTGAAATAAAAGAGTTAAAGAGGATAAATTTTAAATAGCAATGATTTCATATAATTAAAAAACAGATGTATAAATTTAATTTCAATTATAATTTACACTTCATTAATATAAATTAAATATTAATCTGAACAAAAAATAAATCGATATAATAATTTTTACTTTGACTTGTTCATTCTTTTAATTAGTAATCTTTGAGACTAAGTTAAAAATTAAAAATAAATGGCGCGAATGTATTTAATTGCTTTAAATTTATTTAAACACTCCAATAGGAATCTTTGAAAATAAATTTTAACAAATGAAAGATTAAAAAATGGCGTAAATGAATTAAGTTGTTTAAAATTTATCATCACTTCACTAGAAAGGTATTGTGGATAATATTATAAAATCTCGATTAAATTATTAATATTTGTATTTACACTCCAATTAGAAATTTTTAAACATAATTATACCTGTTTTTTAGGAACATTTTTTTACTATAAGCTCTTTTTATAGCCATCGATTGAAAATATACATTCACTTTTAATATATATATATATATATTCATTTTTTATTTTTATATTTTGTTTATATGTTTTAATGATTTATATAACTAGTGTTAGTAATAAAAATAAAAATAAAAAATTATACAAATATCTTAATATATGATTTTAAACAATACACTGAACCCGCTTGAACCTGGGATCATAAAAATTCCTAAGACCGGTTCGGGGTTTTAAAAATTTTTATAAATGTGGTTCAGGTTCGGATTCAGATTTTTTATCAAAAACCCGGGTTTACTCCTACGGGTTCCGGTTCGGTTCAAATCCCGGTTCGGATTCCGATTTTTTATCAAAAACCCGGGTTTACTTCTCCTGGTTCAGGTTCGGTTCTAATCCCTGGATTTACGCAACTTTACAATTCGTATATAACTTATACATGTTTTTTGGAGTGCGATATTGTGTGCGGTACAGATCCTGACTGAACTGTTCTTCCAATTGCTGTAGGGTTATTTTCTAAAACATTTGCCTTTAAATCAGAGCCTCAAGTCTCGTAAGGCTCTAACTACATTTCGAAATAATTTTAACGGGAGATTTCCATTCTTTTAATTAAAAAATTAGAAATAAGAGCCTATGTCCTAGGACTAAAATTGATAACGTTTCTTCATATAATTTTTTTTAAAAAAAAGATTCGGCTATTCGATTTGACTAACCGAATATTTGTTTTCGGTTTTATGTAATCGAGCATCGATTATTATCGAATGGCGAATTATTATATTTATAACGTAAATACGTAATTTAACAGAATTATTATATTTATAACGTAAATACGTAATTTAACAAAATTAATATTTTATAAAAAAAAAATCATCGAATAGGTCCGATAGAAAATTTGTTGGATTACAACAGAATCCGAAGCGGGATGTACTGGCTGAGAATATAATCGCGCTATAAACTACCAATATGATCGATCATTCATGTTTCCCACTATATTATTTATTTTTATTGCAAGAAAATTAATACATTTTTTATAAAAAAAAAATATGGAAATATTGTTGCCAAAACTAAAAAAAAATGTTAGTTCAATATTTATGACTTGTCTTAACAAATTAAACGTTTGCACATTTTTATAATAAAAAGGCGTGTTGGGTGGATATATATATACTTAATTTATTATCGGTTCGGTAAGCTTATTAAAAGGCATATCAGAAATTGGGCCTTAAGAAATTTTTAATTTTATATAAACATTATATCTGGCCAAAGTTTGTAAATCTTTATTTAAAACCCAAAAGAAAAAAGTATAAACAACTTTTTATTTTACGTATTTAACGGAGATGTACCGGCTTTAGATCCTATCTTCTTTTATTCAGCCGTTAAAACGTAATGTAATATATCCCCAGTGGGTCTATATATTGCGCGGCTGAAAAAAATAGCCTGATTAGATAACATTGGACATAATAAATTAACTCCCACTTTGTACAATTCAATTTTTTTTCCCCTCTTAAACACTTTTGTTTTGGATTCATTTGACTCCATCTTGTCTCCTCTCTACGCTATATCTATGTTAAAAATTGATCACTCTTTCCTGTCACTCCAATGTTATAAATTAATATCTGCACACCCACTTCACAGCTTCCGTCGTTGTGAAAGCAGCTGTTGAGGTAACCCGGTTTATTTTACACAAAGGAGGCAAATGCATTGCGCTTGGCTGGGAAGAAACCCCCTACCATTCGTAATAAAACGCTTGATAGAGTCAATCACTAAAATATGGCAAGTGTTTGTTTATATGTTTATACTATATTTAAAAAACAATTAATATCTAACTTAGTTTAAAAAAAGTGTCCATATTTTTGCTATGATAAAAAAAAAATCAATTTTATTATTGCTTAATTTTTAAAGAGGGGTTGACCAATCTACAAATGCCAAGGTAAATTACAAATATCTAGGTAAAAGTGTGTTTTTTTTATGATCTTAATTGTATGAGATTCATTTTCATATGTTATAAACAGGTAAAATTTAATCTTTTAATATAATGTTTAAAATTTTTATTATATAATTATACTTGTAAAAAAAAATTAAAATATATACAATTCAATAATATTCAATCCATAATATTATAAAAAAATCCTTCATTTATCTTACCTTATGGGTAGTAATATACAACATGAACATTATTAATTTATTTATCTGTTTTATTAATATCTACTTTTATGTTTGACTTTTATATGTAGATATTATTATTTTATTTAATCGCTTAAGAATTTAGAATAAAAAAAAATTTATAATAATTTTATATATTTAAATAAGTAAAATAAGCGCCATCTTGCGGATCGAATACTATTGAATTATATAATTTAATTTATACATTTTTTAAAAAAATATAACTAAATAAGATTTTAAACATAAATTAATAAAATATAATTATCTTTATGGGGTTAAATTTTGCTTTGTGTTGTTTATCATAAAAAAAGTACATACTTGCTCAAAATTAAATAAGAATTTAAAAATGATTACATTTTATTAATTTACATAACGTTTGGTATTAACATTTCAAACTTATATAATTATAAAAAAGGTACATTATAAGTAAACCAAACGATTAATTTAATTTAGCAATTGCAAATTAAATACAATAATCCATTATTAAATTCTTATTTTTAAAATTATCAAAATTGAGAAAAGTTCAAAAAAAAAATAAAGATTAAATATGACTTAAAGAGATTGAAAAGGTTAGAAATGTATGTAAAAGAATATAAGGAAAAAAAATCATAAAAAGAATATTGTATGTATGATGAAAAAAAACGTAAAGAATTGTTTAAAAAAATGGACCTAATTTTATAAATTATTTTTAAAAAGACAAAAAAATTATCAAAAATTAAAAGAAAAATAAATTGAGAAATGATACAGTAAGAAAAAATAGTAAAGAAATCGCAAAAATTTAGAAAATAAATTAAGAAGGAATAACAAAAATAAATAAAAATATAAGAAAAAATTTTAAAAAATTACGATTTTCCTTTTTTGAATGGGAATTTTCCTTTTTTGATTGACACTTTTCCTTTCCTTTTGGAAATTTTCCTTTTTCGATTGACACTTTTCCTTTTTTGATTGAACCTTTTCCTTTTTTGTTTGACACTTTTCCTTTTTTGATCAGACTTTTTCCTTTCTTTTTAGGAATTTTCCTTTTTCGATAGACACTTTTCCTTTTTTGTTTTACACTTTTTCTTTTTTGATTGACACTTTTCCTTTTTTGGTCGGACTTTTTACTAAACCTTTGGGACTTTTCATTTTATGATTGACCTTTTTCCTTTTGTGATTGAAACTTTTTCGTTTTTGAATAAGAAACCCTTTTTATATATATTTCGATAAAAGTTATTTGTATATACAAAACATTTGAATTTATTTCAACAAGAAAATAAACTATAATTGTTACATATTTGTAACAAATTGTGTGCTATATTAACTTTTAATTTTATTATTACTCAATTTTTTTACTTTTAAAATTGTTAATATGAATTTACAGCTTCTAACCATGATTGATTCACATTTTATAATAAAAGATATATTTTTTTTATATATAAAGCTCATGAGAAAATTACATTTGAATCAGTTATTTTTACATCATTAAAAATTTGTTATTTGATAAAAGAAATCAGTTATATTTTTATTTATGAATGTTTTTTCATTATTTTATCAAATAAAGAAACTTTTTTTCACTTGATTAGTTAAATTCTTATATTTAAATTGAGCTAAATCCCTACTACTAATATCCATTCTACAACGCAACTACTTGCAATACAGACTACCAATGTTCATTCTCTACAATAATAAATAAACTTTATAGTATATATTATTAACTAACAAAAGAAATTTAATATATGAGTTCATTCACTGGCAGATATAAGTGAACCTTTAATTACAACTTTTATTATTATTTGATCCTGATATATCTAAAAGTATTATTGATAAAATATAACATTCATTATAATTATATTTATATAAATATTTGAAACAATAAATAAATACATTCATTTATCTTTTTTTTTTTTAGATAAAATTTATTTTATTTTATTTTATTAGATGAACATTTGAGAAGTAAATAATATTTAAAAAAATTAACATTAGAACAATTTACAAAGTTATTCAATTTGTAATTAGCGGCATTAATATGTCAATTTAAAAAATAATCACAAGTATATTTTTTAAGGATAAATAATAATATATTTAAATAATATAAATAAATATATAGTAAATTAATATAATAAATTGAGCATATGATTTAAAAGAATTAAGAGTTTTCATAGTTTGCCCTTCAGTTTTTCTTCTTCCATCTGAATATTCCTCTCTTGTTCTTAGTTGCTTTTCTCATCGCCGATTCTGTGATTAGGGTTTGGTTCTTTTGTTGACTTCCATCTGAATATCCCTATCTTGTTCTTAATTGCTCTTCTCATCGCCGATTTTGTGATTAGGGGGTATCAGTCATTGAGAATATGAAGCTGAGGTAATTGGATTTTATTATATTGAGGGCTAATCTTTGGCGTAGGTAGTAACCCTCGTTGGGATCTTCGGTTCTAGTAGAGATCCGTTTCCCCAGCTCTTTAAAGAAGGCCAGGGCATGACCGAACGACGTTAGAGTCGTGGCGATTAGTGGTAGGAATGTGTAATTGGCCGGAAGCGATGGCGAATACTTAGCGAGTTTATTCGTCTCGGCGTCTACTAGAGCATCTCTATTTATATTGGAAGGGGCAAGGGGATCGATGCATGAGAAATCCCCAGGTTAGGAATTCCCCCCTCTTCCAAGGGATCATGGTAGAGCCATCGGGACGCTTACCATCAGAATTGTAGAGTCCAGTAGGTTCGAGGGTTAATGGGATACCGGCAGATTTTAGGGCCCTGGCAATAGTATCATTGCATTTTGAATGTCTAATGAATCTGCCTCTACAGCGCTTGCAGTGTAAAGAGTGACGGCCTTTGGAGTTGACCGGCGTTTGACAAAGGATGCAGTGATAGGGTAGTACCATATCACAATTAAGTCTTAGACCGATGGCGTGACGTAGCTCATCATTGCTTAGGAGCTGGTCAAGGTTTCGCGATGGAAAAGCTTCGAGAAATTCATACCCGCTGTCTGCGGAAATGGAGAAGAGTAGAGAATGGTCCTCAGGTTGGCACCTTGATGGTAATAATATACAACATGAACATTATTAATTTATTTATCTGTTTTATTAAAATCTACTTTTGACTTTTATATGTAGATATTAGTACTTTATTTAATCGCTTAAAAATTTAGAATGATAAAAAAAAAATTTATAAATAATTTTATATATTTAAAATAAGTAAAATAGGCGCCATCTTGAGGATAGAATATTATCGAATTATATCTTTTAATTTATATATTTTTTTAAAAAAATATATAACTAAATAAGATTTTAAACGTAAATTAATATAATATAATTATTTTTATGGGGTCAGATTTTGCTTTGTGTTGTTTATCATAAAAAAAGTACATACTTGCTCCCATTTATCATCTCTTATAATATGATATGTAGAATTTTTAATCAAGCATTTATATTTTTTTTTTGGTTAATATTTTTGGGCATAATATGACTGTAATAAAATAATAAATGATTATTTATTAAGATTTAATATTTAAATTTTTACTATTCCCTTTGATAAAATTTTAATTTTGCGCCAAATCTTAAAAAGTGAAAAAATTTAAAAAAAAAATTTTTTAAAGTACCCCCATAGAAATTTATAGAAGCAGTTGCTTCGGACCCCCCCCCCTTGTTGTAGGGGTCACTGTATGGGGGCACTAGGCATTCACCCAGAATACATTTATATGAGAGGATTGTGAGCAGTATGGATATTATGGGAGTAATTGCTATGGTATCGTTCCTTCGGCGTCGATGAAGTATTTGTCGAGCTATCATCAATAAAGTCAAATGAAAATGTCAACCATCATATCATGTTGTCCCCACACTCTCTGACTAAACGGTTACGCTACATCGAAGTATTCGTTGGCTTGGACACTGAATTATCTATTTGCTTATTCGTTATTCGTTACATCTTGAGAGGACGGTCATATTATATGTCTTTCAGGAGGGTTCAATTGTAACACAAAATTTTTTTAAAATTTTTATTGACGATTTA